TAAAGATTAATTTCATTATAATGGACAGAAGGACAGTCACCCTCCAGAAGTGACCAATTATATATATTTATATAGAGAGAGAGAAACAGAGAAAGCATTTTATTTGTTGCAGTTTTTCTTGTTACATATTGAATTAAAAATGGCTAAATATAACAGACATATCTAGGCTCTAAATTTAAAGCTTACCCCCAAATTCTTCCCGGGACGACCACGATGCGTTCTAGCTCCGCGGTGGTTGCCTGAAATGTTCTAAATTCCTCTAAAAAGCACCACATTCGAGTCCAGAAACGACATAGAGAAATCCAGTCAGTTTTTCAAAATAAAAATACCACATGCAGTCTCAAATTTACGCTACATCATTGTTGGCACCCGGCCAAATCAGTCACTCAGAGGCAGGTTAGAGGAGGTTCAAAAGGAGAATACACAAGTAAACACCGGGTTTTTGGACAGGAACGACGCTTGAAGACGCTCTGCTTCTGAAAAATTCTCAGTGGGATTTAAAGGGGAACTTGGCAAACTCTAGCCATTTCCTTCGCTGGTTTTTCACTTTTGTCATCGCATGTTTTTTCTCAGCGAGCTCCCCCTTACAGCTTTCTGGACGTGTATTCACACACGTCGTAAAAACAACTTCACTTGCCGGCACCCTCCTCCCTCTTTTCTACCGCTGGCTGATGTGCCTTTTTTTTCGCCGGGAACCTTTTTCGTGTGGAGGCAATATTTCTACCGGCAGGTGGTAATTCCATTATTACAACTACCGTTAATTGAGGCGGCGTGTGCGTTTATTGTGGAATTGCGTAAAGCCGTTCGTGTTTCTTGCTCGTCTCGCTTCTCGCATACTTCCCTATTTTCCAATTTATACCGGGAACGGTTAGTTCCCAAAGTTGCAACGGTTGGTTTTCCGGCCTGGGTCGCCTGAGGGGCGTGGGGCGTCACCATTTTCACCCGGAACAGATTTAACCATCCCAAATGATTTCTAAACGGGTTTATTGAAAGCCTTGAAAAATTTTCCAAGTTCCCCTTTAAGACACGGATCACGGGAGAGAAACTGCGCTGCAGATGTCGACGTTATAAAGCCGACCCGGTGAAACTTCCGTTAAAACCTAGTAAAGCGGCAGTAGACAGTAGGACAGTTGACGCTTGAGCGCGCCCCTAAGAAAGGAGAAAGTTGAGGTCACTCACTTATTCTTGTTGTTTTGAGGAATGTTGTCCAATATGGGAAGGAACCATAAGAAACTCATGTCCTTCATCATGCCATTGGTTATCCCTGTGTCTTTCAGAAATGGTGGAATCGATGAAAGAAGGTGGCCAGTATGGACGTGGAGCTGACGTGAGGGAGAGGAACCTGCTTCTCGGTAGCATAAAGAACGTGATCGGAAGAGCTTCCTGGAGGATAATCAGCAGCCTCGAACAGAAAGAAGAAAACAAAGGCGGAGAAGACAAATTAAAGATGATCCGAGAATACAGGAAAACGGTCAGACACTGTTGTTAAACCCTGCTGGGTACTTTGATTGTAAGCAGTGTGAGAGTGTATCTTTATTGTTTTCTCAGCTACGAGGTTTTGATGAAGAAAATTCAGGTTTTTATGTAACATTTTGACAAGTTTCCGTCGTCTAAATGAACCTGTAAGCGTTGTTTTGTAACCCTAATGTCTGCAGACATGACTCCAGCAAAACATTAACAGTCTTCTGTGAACCTGTGAAGGAATACGCTGACTCGCTTTCACTTAGCTTTGGTGGGAAGTCGGAGCAAAATTATTCACCGTTAGCCCTTTTGCAGTCACAGATTCTCTTACATTAGGTCATAGAGCAAATATAACTGGCTTTTAATGCTCACAAAGTCCTGAATTGGACACAGTAATGACAATACAACCCCAGTGGACTAAACTGGTTTTGAAGTGTAGCTGGCGCGCACTCAGGTAATCTGATTTCCATATCCAGGAGGCAATATGCCAGAGATGCTTTCCCTCTCCTTAGGTGAGCTCTCCTCCACCGGCCTCTCCACTTGGAGAGGAAGCGGTGTGATTTCACCGCTCAACGACACTCGTCTGAGTGAAATAACGAGGTAGGCGGCGCCCAAGAATCCACTTTTTCTGAGTGCAACGCAGCAGCAACCCTCCAGTCAGTTAGTGAGTGGGGGAAAACAGATTTTATGACTTCGTGTAGGATCATTTCACCCACACTCCCAATGTGTGAAAGTTTATTTTTGTCAGTTCACTCACACCTCACGATGGCGTCATTGCTGAGACTTTCTACTCGCATCTGGTTGGTACTTCAAGACTTATCCGATATGGGACTTTGAGCATTAAACTGCCAAAACTGTGGGAATTAAAGATTTATATTTGCCTCTGTATGATGCATTTCTGTAGTTGTGGTTGGTTGATCTGCTTAGTTAAAAGTGAAAGCTGAAGAACTCTGTACAGGACTTTTAATTTAATCCTGCTCCCGCCCACTCACGGTGGATTTCCGACTATTACCACCCTCTCCCGCTGTGTGTGTGTCCACTCCCTTACTATTCACTCCCCCGCACAATAGAGAATTCCTGTCGTCTCCCGTCCCGCAGGTGAAAAAGATTTTATCTTACTGTGTCAGTAACAACTGAGAAACGTCTCTGACTCGCCTTGCTCTGCTGCCGCTTTAATCTTCTTCTCAACTTCATTTGTTGACTCTGTCTCCGTCTTTCTGGTGGGTGCAAGATAAATCCCTGGTGGGTTTGGGGCCTCTATTACTAACTAATAATGCTTCCAAAACTTCACCCGCTGCTAACTTCAACCGGGTAAAGTCAGCATCCAAAGAAAAAGCTGTTTTATGTGCGCGGACATGTCGCCGTATAGTGATGTTTAAACATGTGAGTTCAAGGGGTCGGTGTCGGCCAGTCAAACAATACCCAGCCGGCTCTTTCTGTGACAAACGCTTCCACTGGGGACTGCCCCGAAAGCTGCCCCGTACGTCTCTGCTCACATTTTAACAATTGTTGGTTGGCAGATTGTTGGAGGATTTGTATTTGTCACTCAGGGTTCCCACGCGTCCTGGAAAACATGGGACGTTAGAGACTAGATTCTTGATCTTGGAAACACCTCGAAAAAGATTAAAATGACCAAATATTCTTGAAGTAATCTGTAAATCATATCACCACAGTTTAATCATGAACCCTGTATTGAAAGAGAGAATAAAAGTGTGGTTAAATGCGTCAGTACTCGTGTCTGCTGCAGCCAGTAAATTATGTAACTGTTTCTGAGCGAGTGCTGTCCTGTATTGTCAAGGAAAATCTGACAGCAGTGTTTGTGTCTGCAGGTCGAGAAAGAGCTGAAATCAATCTGCAACGACATTCTGGATGTACTGGACAAGCACCTCATCTTAGCTGCAGTCGCGGGAGAATCTAAGGTTTTCTACTACAAAATGTACGTATCCAACAGTGTGTATCTCCTCCAGCATTAACCTCAGCCTGACGAAGGCTGGCATCAGCGTGATTTCATAGACGACTCTTCTGGGATGGAAAATAAAAAGGGTTTTGTTTAATCATAATGCAGATTGCTGCGCAGATACTTTATAAAGCTGAGAGCGTTCACCTTGTCTCACCTCTCCAGTGCACAAGTGAACTGGCAGTTAATTATGTATCATGTGTCTATCTGAGCTACTTCCTGTTAGATTTAGAGCGCAGCCGATCCCTAGTCAATCCCTAACAGAGTAATTACATATTCCTCTTTGCTGAGCAACCTGGCTGTCGAAGATTAAATAAAAAGCACAGTTGCTGGGTGGATTTTAATATATAAACTTTTAAAAGGATCTCACAGGATAAGGGACACAAGCTTATATTGACAAGAACTGATAGAACAAAGAGAATAAAACACACAATTTGTCAAAAAAGAAGGCTGTTCATTATGTATGATTGTTTAAAAATAAAGAGGATACACAATACAGACAGAGAATTGTATAAAAAGTTGCTAAAAATATCAGGAAAACTAATTTCTGAGCAATATTTGCAGGAAATAATCTGCTCAGAATTCCTTAAAATCACTGAAATCCTGCAGTTATTGTGTTCACTGTTTGGATTCATTGTACAGTTTATCAGTTGTTCTCTTCTGTTATTGTTACACATTGAATATAACGTGAAATATCCATACAATATGTCACCTACTCAGTTTACTTAATGATAGAAAAGGGCTCATTTTAAAGGGAAAATGTTGGTAACCGCTGCTTTTATTGAGCTATTTTACCAAAGGTCCAAAAATGTCTTCAATCGTTATAACCACAGTTTTGCATTCTGGTATTTAATTGTGCAGAATTTGGAAATTCACAACATTCCACATTACTGAGAGAAACCCGGAGCCTCGTCCCTTTTTAAATGTTCCAGGAAATGATCTGTGGAGTTTAAATCTTGCAGGCCAGCAGCGCTCTCTTTGTTCTTCCTCGCCTTAAAGTAGGCCTGTCAGGGCTTAGATGCATTTAGAGGCTCATTGTCCTCCTGGAAAATTAATCTCTACCACACAGCTTGAAGCCACAAAAGATACCATGCCTGTGCAAGAAACAGTACCTCTCCTAAATAAATAAATACACAGATGATTCGTAAAGGTGGAACAGCATCACACAAGAGTATTTTAGCCATAATTTACTCTAAAAGTTGCTGTACTCTCTCATTTAGGCTGATGTAGATATTAAAAAGAACCTTTACTTCAGTCCCCCTGGTTTGTTAATGCATCTGTCAGGTGGATTGTCTGGACTCTGTTGTTACAAGCAGCTGTGTGTCTTGACTGTGCCGTTCTCTCTGCTCAGGAAGGGAGATTACCACAGGTACCTGGCAGAGTTTGCCACAGGCAACGACAGGAAGGAGGCGGCAGAGAACAGTTTGGTTGCGTACAAAGCTGCTAGCGACATCGCCTTGATCGAACTCCCTCCAACGCACCCCATTCGTCTGGGATTGGCCCTTAACTTTTCAGTTTTCTATTATGAAATCCTCAACTCGCCGGACCGCGCTTGCAGGTGGGTCATTTTCTGTCGTCTGTTTAACCGCATTTTAAAAGGATGTCGTTATTTGTGATTGTTTTAAACTTATTCTGCAACCTCTGAGCTTTTTAGCCTCCTTGTTTTGGCTTTGTAGCTCACACATTTACTGTCATCGACACCTGTTTTAAGCTCTGATGAAGCCACTGTACTATGGATGGGACAATGTGTGATATTATGGCATATAGCCATTAAAAAGTGTATCGTGGTGAATTTGCAATATCAGGAAAATCGTGAATCTCCTCATGAGTCACTTAAAAAAGCTGTCTAGCTCACTAATGTACAGCCCAATATCGATTTCCTGGTTTATTCTTGAATCGGTGCATCTTTACAGTAATTTCGAAATCTTAAATCTGTCTAAAAACGACAAATAAAATGCGATTCCAATGCATTTTTTTGTGCTTTTTTAAGTTTTATGCATTTTTAATGATTATTGTGATAATATCATGAATCCCATACCTACACTGTACGCTTCAAACCGCAGAAAGAAAGTCACCCAGTGGCAGGGGAACATAGTAAAGCATCAAAAAGACTTAAAAGACCAAAAAATTCCACTGTTGTGGACTGAACTAGAACTAAAAGGAGGAAGAATTTGTTTTTTCAGCCAAAAAATCATCCTCAAATGCACCTTTTGCAGTGCATCAGGAAAAGTCCTGTGCAGCCGTTTACGTCCAGTTTGGTAAATTACATCCACATGATTTTTAAACAGTTTTCCCTTTCGATATGGCTCAAATGCCACATGAAAAGAAACTGTGCGCTCCAGCTGTTGGAGCTAAGGAGGCTCCAGGATGTTGGCTAAATGATTCTCAGGAATCTGGCAACTTGAAAAAAAAAAAAAACAGTCCTGAAAGGGAACAGATTAATTTCCATCCTGACACATTCGGTCAGCGCCTCTGCAGTGGAGTCAGAAACAGACTGTAAGGTGAGAAAATGTGGTAAAGAAATGTATTTATTTACAGAGACAGTGCACATTAATCAACACTGCTGTTTACACTTCAATGTAAATGTACTGGAGTAGGCTAATGAGGTTCTAACAAAACAATACAATATAATAAATACATTACAGAAGTGACAGATATATAAAAGATTATGCAAAGCAGGGTTCCCACTCGTTTAGACTATTTTTCCGGTCATGAAAACACCAGAATATTGATTTAAAATGGGCAAATATCCTGAAAATAATGGATGTTTTTCTGGAAATCACCTACGTAAACCTGGGTGTGTTATATAGTTCGAAAGATAAACTGTATAACCTTTTAAAAACGGGTTTACCGGGAGCAAAATGAATCTTTTTCGGGACAGAGTCTATTTTTTTCCACGTCAATTTGGCCGAAAACCGCAGCTTGTATAACCGTTGGTGAGCAAGTGCTGTCTCCTGGAAGATATCCTGAATACGATGTTTTAAAACGAGCGGGAACCCGGTAAAGGCCAGTGCCTGAGATGATTATACAGTTCAATCCACCTGTTTACTATGTGTGTGTTTACCTCTGCAGGTTGGCGAAGGAAGCGTTTGACAATGCCATCGCAGAACTGGACACGCTGAGCGAGGAGAGCTATAAGGACTCAACACTTATCATGCAGTTGCTACGTGACAACTTGACACTATGGACCTCAGACGTGCAGGGAGATGGTGAGAGAGCCGTTTCCTTTTATTCTCGGGGCTGTTAGATATGAGCCAATACACGACTGCGATCTACCGATATTATCTACAGATCTTCTGTTTCTGAAGCTCATTTGTTCCTTTTTAAGACCCCCGAGTGCCTTCGGTCGCAGCTTCTTCACAGCTCAGCACAGGGTTGGGTGATTATATATCGACGATGTTTGTTAATTTAATGGTGACAGACGTTCAGCGCGAGGTACACACACACAAGTTTAAATTAAGTGTGTTTTTAAATCACTTAACAAGGCGTTAGTCCGATATAAGAGAGAAACTCGAGTTTAAAAGGTCGTATTTTTCTGGTTTTAATGCAGAAAACAAGTCTTTTTCTTGACATAATGTGAGTTTATTATGTTTATTAAAGCTATTAGCTCGAAGCACGTAGCGATTGTTGGACTGACTGGCGGCCGGTTGGATCACTTTAACACATCGTCCAACCCAGGACGGGAAAAAAAGGAAAACGATGAGGAATGAAGGTTTTTGAAATATTAAATTAATCTGATACCATCAAAGGAAAAAGCATCAAGGAAACTAACTTTCTCTCTAACTTTCCCCTCAGCACAAAGGTCTCTCTCTCTCTCTCT